CAAGGATAAGCCTTGATAAGATTTATTTTAAGTTCAAGTTTAGAGAAGTTTAAATTTAGAGTTTGGATGATGTTGGTTTTTTTAATTTATGCTGTTATGTTTTAGGAGATGAAGCTGGGATGAAAAAAAGATAATGTGTTCAATTTAGTGAAACTAACAATAAATTTTATACTAACTAATTTTTTTTTTAAATTTAATAAATATTTTTGTTCAAAAGTTTTGATTTACTGCAGATTTTGGGAGGAACGACTTGTGTTCTTTTTATCAGTCGTTTTTGTTTAAATTTTCTGTTTAGCAACATTTGCATTGAAAAAGTATTGTTCCGATTGTTTTTATTTCAACAAATGAAAAATTAAATTTACCGAGCAAAGGATTCTAAATACAAAAACTTGTTCTTCCGGTTTTCGTCTTACTAGCATATGGTCGATTGGTCTTCTTGGTTTCTACTAATCGTAGATCTTAATCGTAGATGATTGGTTTCTTCCTAATCGTAGATCACGCCTTGTTCTTGGTCGTCTTGCAATACCTGGTTTTTCTCGTATTGTTTGGAAAATTGGCGTAGCTCTATTGAGCATTAGAGACATTTCTATTAATAAATTCGCTATTCCATCTATTATTTTTGGTGTTTTGCAATTGTCTATTTCTACTTTTAAACTTTAATTCTAGGTTGGTTAAGGTCTTGTTCGAGACTTATGGTCGCATCAGCTGAGTTCAGACCTTTTTGTTATACAGATAGAGTAATTTCATCAGAGGTACACAGTCTGTTCGTCACGCTATCTTATTTTTGGCCTGATAGATTCGTGCAACTTCTTACTCTAATACCAATCTTAATCTTACTCTTATATCTCCTAGTCTCAATAGATTTAGTGTATACTGGTTTTTGCGTATTAGTTCTTGGAGTTTTATCCAGGACGAGAACAAATTTAGTCTAGGATTTGTTCAATTAAATTTGGTGCTAGGACTCTAAGTAGTTTTAGCACTTACAAATAAGTGTCGGTGTTAGAGATGGAATATGGTTGGTTAGTTAGTAATATTTCATAGAGATAGACAATTGCATTTATAACCAAATATAAATATCTGTTGATAGACATATCCCAAAGCAACAGCAGATTTGGATGTGCGGAATCATCAAATCTGATCTTTTTCCACGGTTAATTTATAATTGCAACATCGTATATCAATCTCAAATTGCACCCAAAAAGTTTTTAGTGCATATTACTTGTACTCTCAGTGACAGTTTCTATTTTTTGAGTTCAGTTTACATCATAGCAAACATATCCGACAAAAAGTATCACATTATTAGCTGGTCTTTTTGAGTCTTATTGAGTTTCGACATGGAAACGTTTAAGCATCACCAACCTTAGAAATGTGACCATTTTTACCAATTTGTTGCCTAAATTGCTGCTTTGTGATCAACTGAATACAATTCTTCAAAAGTTTTAATTTTAGACACAATCTTACCATACGATTATTTTTCACATCTACTTTTTAGCTTTTTAAAAGAGTTCAGCTTGTATTTTGTTATCATTAAATGCAAAAATCAAGGCTCTATTTTTTACTCAAGAAAGAGCGATCGTTTCAATGAGCGATTTTTTTATCGTTGAACAGGCATTTTAGCATACTACTTAACAGGCCATTAATTCTATACTTTCTTTGAAAATTTGATGTGAAGATCTGATGTGAAAGTTTGATGTGAAAGTCTGATATTAGAAACAGTTTTTGCAGTATTAAAATCAGCTGTTCACAAAGCAGCATTTCGGGCGGCAAAATTAAAAAAAAATTGATGAACTGTCAATCTTTAGATTTTATAAAAATACTGAAAAACTGAAAAACTTCTGTTCTTTTCCCGCTTGAAAACTAAAACTTGTGACTTCTATAACCTGTGACTATATCAACAAGACACGCATCTGATCCCGGATATTTTAAAGTATTTACCAAATTTTTGTTGCTTTTTTAAAGTATTTACCAAACTCGTTTTTTAACAAATACTGATGTGAGAATCAGTTAAATTTAATTTGCTTGCCTGCCGAATTTTGAAATTTTTGAAATGACCCATTTTAGGGGTGTAATTTTGGATGGTTCAAACTTTTGCAAGAAAAATGAACAACAGAAATTCTGGTGAAATTCATGCAATTTTTTTTGTCTTTATCATTTTGTGGCTAAATTTAACCGAAAAACGAGTTTAGAAGCTCTGATTGCTCTCAATTTTTTTGCGATATTTTAGGTTAGCACTTTATAAATTTGATCAGAACAAATGCACTGAAAAATCAATCAACCGTGAAAAAAATACAAACCAATTCAATGAGTTATTTTTCCATTTTTGTCGATTTTTGCGACCAATTGCAGTAAGAATCATTTCAAAATTGTACATTTTTAAGAAATGAGAAAAAAGAATTAGAAAAAAATTTTTGAAACACCCTGTAAAAGTTGAGGGAAGTTTAAACTCGCAATGTAGTTTTCTCATTAAAATTTTGTTACAAAAGTACCTTAAACACACGTGCGATTTTATTTTTCACAGAGAAGATTTCAGCAACTAAGAAAAATTAGGCTGGAAAAGAAGCACAAAAAAGCTACAACAGTGGCGCAAACTAAAAAGTTAATGGCCGCTCAAGGTACAATAGACAAAGGAGGTAAGAGCTGAAGTTAAGGTTTTTGGGTCTTTTTCAATTAATCTCGATTTTTTACTGAAACTCGGTCTATGCAAGCTCTCCTCGGGTTGACCTCCATAAAAAAGAATTGCAACTCACTCAATATCATACAAAGAAAAGCAATAAATGTAAGAAAATATCGCTCTTCCTTCAATTGCAATTTTTTAAAAGTGAAATGGTTTTTCAAATTGTTAAAAATACTTATATGGGCCATGATAAACAGTTTTGTTCTCCCCACAATTTAAACTTGTAAAATCAAACATAACACCACAAAAAAGCTTTGAAATTTTCTAAGCAAGAGTATTATGCAAAAAAAACTTGTCATCTATTTTTTATTTATGATAATTGGATGACAAGAAATTAATTCAAAAAATTATTTTTCAGAAATTCGTTAAAACATTTACATACACTTGTGGACAAAATTACGCGCGAATTTAGGATTTTGTTCTCTAAAATGCTTATTTATAATATCCATTTTTGACAATTTTCCTTCAAATTTTAGTAGTACTTTTACTTAGACCAAAAGCAAATGATAGTATTAAATGAAATTATCAAATTTTTGTTTCAATGACTTACCAATTTAATCTGGGTCTAGAAATGCCACTTTTTCTCCTTTGCCATAAGTTTTGCATCGTAGTGAATTTTTTCTGGAATTGGCCGAACAACAAAATGTTCATGTGACGTGAAGCAATTTCAGCGAGAAAATCGAAACAATCCGTGTGAAAACTTTACAGCGCTCAGACGTTTCTTACTTTTTCACGCAAAGTGAAAAAAAACTTGCAAAGGAGGAAAACTGGCATTCTTAGACCCGCATTACAGTGGTACTTCATTGAAACTAAATTTTGATAGTTTCATAGAGGGAACCTCTGATTTTTTGCTTTTGGTCTAATTGAAAGTTCTACTGAAGTTTGAAAGAAATGTTGACCAAAATGGACATTGAAACTAAGCGTTTTAGAGAGTAAAACTTTTGCGCCTAATTTTGTCCACTAGTGTATCTTTAGAGGTATGAAATCTATTTCCAAAAAAATTTCGTGTAAATTACCTTATGAACAACTTTACTCAACTCGAGGTTCTAATTGTACAAATCAAACTGAAAAAAAGTCATAATTTTACTGTTCCGAGATATTTGTTCTGTTGTTGGAATTATAGATTCGAAACGATAAGAAAATGTAATCTTCTTGTTTATAAATGTTTGTCTCCGCTTCTTCTCAGTCCAAACTCCCTTCTCCCCAATGAAGAGCAGATCTGTTCAAAATTGTTAGTTTAGTTTCGTCACCATCCCAAGTTTCGTTGAATTCATGACAGCCTTAGAATAATTTTTGTTACGACTATTGAAAATTATTAAAACTTTGTTTTCAGGTGTGAGTCACTTAAATGCCACTCAAATTAAGGTATCAGAAAGAACCATCGGAGTGAATCATAAAATTTCAGCTATGTCAGACGTGATTCCAACATCACAAAAAAAAAATTTCTAAAACATTTTTCTTTCTCGAAAAAACTGGTTGCAAATTTATAAAACCAGTTTGAAACTTTTGATTTTTTAGCCATGCAAACTTAGTTTTACTCCAGTCTCCAAAACTGAAAATCAAAAGTGGGAGAAATTGAGGCTCTTTTCCACATCCCCCACCCTTCAAAAATCGATTTCTATATTTGTTTATTACGGCTAAATTTTATGACGTGAATTTTGAAGAGCAAATCAGTTTACAGTTGTCAGTATGTTCGCCATGCCAAGTTTTTAAATAATGGCAAATGGGCTTAAAGTTAAATGGGCTTATCAAAACTGAATTTGAATGGGGCTGGAAAAGAGTAAAAAGTGATAAAAAGTCAATTTTTGAAAAAAGAATGAACTTTTTAGTCCAGATTTTCATTAAATTGGAGCAAAATTTGTTTTTCTTTCTCAACCAACTTTCAGAAAAAAGTTAAGGTTCAATATGCCTAATTTTCAAAGATTCTGGAATATATCTAAGTTTTCGGCTTTTCGGCTCTTTTCTAGTTTCCCTACATTATGGCAAGATAAAAGTAGTTTTTCAAAATTGAAACTTAAAGCTAGGGGAAAAAGAAAAAGAGTAGCTTTTTGAAAAAAAAACGCACTTTTTGTAGTTCTCAATTTTTTTGCTGGGAAATTTTGCCCTTAACTTACATCAACTATCTATACTTGTTATAATTGAAATTGAAATTGGGGGGGGGAGAGGAAAAGAGCCTGAGAACTAACCTAAACTTCGTATCAAAACGGCTTGGCGACAGTGCCACAAAACTGTCTTTAACGAAAAATAGGGAAAGATTAGGGAGCTGTGAGTTTAATTTAAAACTTATTATGGAAAGATGCAATAGAAAATGTCGGATTGTTTTCAGAACAAAATGAGGCTATTCACCCGGACTGGAGAAAACTCATAAACACACTACTGCTGCCATACTTCAGAAAGTCAAAAGATGACCCTAAAAACATAATGTATCACCCAGTGCTGCCGGACGAGGAGTTTCCTGGGTTTATGCCTCCTTTTCTGGAAGTGGAACCAAACGAAAACTGGGAGACAGAAGGCTGCAAAGTCAGGTGGGCTCTTTTTCAGTTTCCTCTTGATTTTTTTCTGAAAATTGATTTATATAAGCCTAATGATATGAATTTTTGTTCTTAAATACAAAAACAGGTCTCAGCGTGAAAAATTGAACAAATTTGCGCAAGATTTTTTTCATGCAAATTGCCGTATGAACAATTTTTCAACATTTTTTTTTGTAATTTTATGAGGGGGTCCATTATATCCCATTTTTTTGGAAAAAAAGTCGTCAGGTTTTACCATCTTTATGAGTTTTTTCGTTCATTTGATCAATGGCTTGGACTAAAGCTCTTATATTTTGTTTCCTCATGTTTCAAATTTTCTTGCTTATACTTTATGTACGTTTATGCAAAAAAACGTCATGTTGCGAGGTATAGTACGGTGAATAAGTCTTTCACTTTTGTTAGCTTCATTACCGCGCCAAATTCGTTTGGAATTAGTTTTACCTCTCGCTTAAATTCTTGATCTTCCGACTTTCGTAACGACAATAAACGGAATATTTGCGCTCGGGCTGTTTTTTCTTCAAACAAACTTCGAATTTATAACTAGCCACTTTTGAAGGAGTTTTCCTAAGCTCAAATTTAAAAAAATACATTTCAAGGCTCTTTTCAATTTTTCATCTCACTTTTAAATTTAAATTTTGAAAACTAATAGTCCGTTGTCATAATGCAATGAAGTTTTGCATGGTGAACAAGTTAACTGTTGTGAACACATATGTCCTTCATGTCTTACTTCGTAACATTACGCGTTCAGCCATATTAACACAAGTCAATTATAAAAATGGAAAACTTGAAATGTGAGGGGAAAGTGGAAAAAACCTATCTCACTTGCGATTTTTGTAAAGTAATTGGGCTTAACGATTGCTATTTTGGCTCATTTGGCAAAATAAACGCGCGATGTATTTTGCGCTAATAAAGCGTAATCTGAGAGTTAATCCGTCTTAGAAATTATTCCAATTTAGTTAGAGGAAGTTTATTTGCCATAATTGATTATTTCTAGGTGCGAAATTTATTACCTTGTACTTAATTTGGCATGTCGGGGGGGGGGGATTTATTCGTTCGATTTCATTACATTTAGTTTTTTCATGTTATTTAGACCTTAAAAGGCAATCGGAACATTCAGGGCTTTGACCTGATACAAGCAGGCTCAATCTATTTTCGTAAGTATTTCGCAATTGGTTATGTCTTGACGGATATTTCGGTATTAGTTACGTTAAAATTATGTTCACAGCCATCGATATTTTCAAACTGTTTCCTCAACATGCAAAATATGAGTTCGTTATGTTTTTTCTATTTCTCTTTTTAACAACTCTCTCATTTGAATATTCTAGTGAAAATTTACTCAGTGTTGCTATAAATTATAGCAACACTAAAGTAAATGTTCAAAAAAAGTTCAAATGAGGTAGTAGTTGAAACTACAATCGAAAAGACAATCGATTGGTATGATTTACCTTGTCGGTCTTACAGACAAACTTTTGATGAAATTTAACACAAATGACGTTGCTCATTTGCATTTAAGTATTATGTATAGTCCCTTTACGATTGGCTCTCTTTTTCAATTTCCCCACCGCCTTGGAATTTTAAACAAACGTGTTTTTTTTTTCAAACAAACGATTGCTACGTTTTTTTTCAGAGTCAGATTGCACCGCACTGACAGCTGACAAGCGTTGAAAACTAGTGTCTTCCTAGTCTTTAGGACATCTCAGAAAATCAAATCGATCGTGCTAAATTTTCATTTTTTTAGTAATAGATCCTTCACGCTAGCACAACTGGGGGCTATGTCTTGCTCTGGCATTTATTGGGAAAGACACAGGAATTGTTATTTGAAATTCTTACTCTGTATTACAATTTTTCCTCCTTTTTTTAAAATATAAAGAGCCCAAAAATCAGAGCAGAGGGGTAATTTTTCATTGCAAAAACCCAATTAAAAATTACGTTGGAACTTTTACTTTTCTGCTCTGTTATTTAATCAACTGTTCCCAGTAAACGCGGCAAACAACGAACCTCTCCCAATACTTGACGTTCTTAAGATTTTCTTCGAAATAGTAATTTTTTGTAGCACGAAAGGTCAATGAACTACAAAGCAACAATTTTAAGAGTCAGGAGGCCCCAAAGTAGGCTTTAATTTAGAAAAAGCCAATTGATTATTTAATGAGGAAATAATTTTTGCTCGGTGTGCAATTTTTTTTTTTGAGTTTTATTTAAGTAAATAAGCAAAATCTACTAAGAATTGCAGTTGGGAGGGCTAATTTTCCTTCTGCCTCCATGCATCTCAAATTTGAAAACCCACAGGTTATCTGGCAAAATGGAAATCTACTAATTACACGGCTTGATCAAAAAGGCAAATCATATAATTTTAATATTTTTGGAAAGTTATTCATACACTTTTCAAGCAAATTCATAAGTAGAGCAAACTGCATCAAAAGTCAGTCATTTAGGATTATCATAAATTGAAATTGTATGAGTAGCACTTTTCCATAAACTAAGAAGTGCTTTTTTTCAAATTAAATTCCCAATTTTTGGGTTGCGTTCGTAACTGAACACAAGTGGCAAAGACACCGGTTACTCAAAGTTTGAGTCACCATACATTAGACACGCTTAAAAGTACAATGCATTAGAAATGACATGAAAACATATGTTATACAGTGACAAGTCAAGGTAAATAGCAAACTTATAAACTTTGCAAACATTTTCAGAGATACAAAATTTTGAAATTGAAGTTTCAATTGATCATGCATTGCTCAGCGCATGCATAATCTTACAAAAATGTAAGTCATACGCTTTTTGAGCGCTAAATTTGAGCGGACAAAATTATCCGGGAAAGCAGAAAAAAAAACCATTTTTGTGTATCCTAGGACTACTTTATGCAGACAAAAATTCAAAATTGGCTTGCAAAAAAAACGTGGAAAATAATTTTTCTGGCAATTTTGAAAGTTTTTTTTTTAATTTTTTGAGCGGCCATCAAAAAATTTTACTCATACAATTTTGATATATGAAAATTGTTTTGTTAGCTTTTTTGCCAATTTTTTTGTTTCATTAGGCCACAAAATTGTTTGAAATTCGTATGACTAGCTTTTTTTTCATCGACTTTGTTTATGAAATATTATGATAAGCATTATTGTTCAAAGTAGGTCAATTCGGGGACCAGGCAACTCTCTCCGGGATATCCTGAACCCTGCAACTGACGATTGCAATCCTTGTTGAAAAATTTAATGAAAAAAAAACATTGATTGACAGAGATTGATATTTTTCACGTTATTCCGTTTAAGTCAACTGTTTTTATGAGTTTCCTTCTGTATTTCCAAAAATAAATCTGTTAAAAACTCGAAAAAACATACTCCAAACATTCGAAGTTTTTGTGAAAAAAACTATCATGTACACTAAGGAAAACGTGAAATGAAGATTAAACGAAAAACTGGAGCAATTATAGTGAATTCCAAAACGCATTATTCCTTCTTTTTTTTGGTGTTTTGAGATGTAAAAAATTTATTGAGTGTAAATGGTAGCCAGATCATTCAGGATTTTGCATTGATACGAGCAGTTTGTTTTTTCTGACTTGATACGAGCTGTTTTGAATTCAACAAAAAAAGATAATTAATTGAATTAGAATACACAAACCTACTTTGAAACCCACACAAAAAATCCACTTACAAAAAAACCTGGGGATACTCTTCTACTGAAAACGAACTTATTAATAAGGACCTAACTAAAACCGGCGGTTATATCAGTCAGCGCGAGTATATCAGTCAGTTTTTAACGAGTGAAATCAGCGCCTTGGAGGAGACGGAAGAGGAAAACATTTAGACTACTTTGAGCAGAAGCGAATCTAGGATTTTCTCGAGAGGGGGCGGATTTTGTCGACCTTTTTTTTAGGTCGACCCAATTGATTTTCCGAGCTCTAATTACGGCTCTGACTATGAGTGAGTTTCAGAATGCGCTACTTGCGAGGAGTGTGGTTGCTATACTGGCATAGGACCAAAGTGGATGAACAAGTGAAGCGATTTGTATTCAGACCAGCATTCATGCCGTTCCTTGCCGACATGTACGAGGTACGTAATGTCGCACATTTTTTTTCGAGAATTACGCAGTAACTCTTTTTGAAATAAAATTCAAACTAAAAACAACCCGCGTTGACAAAAAACGGTTGTCATACATTTTCATACTATATAAAAACGTTTATCAAAGTGAGTTAGAACCGATGTGGTTAACTCATAGAGTAATTTCGGATAGAGTACACCCTCTGCTCGTCACGCTATCTTATTTTCGGCCGGATAGATTCGTGCAACTTCTTAGTCTAATACCGATCCTAATCTTACTCTTATATCTACTAGTCTCAGGGTGTTTAACTAGCCTCTGCTAGGCTCATTAGATCTAGAGTATTGTTGCGGCTGCTGAAGTACTCGGGAGAGGCAACTATTTTCTAAGTTAAATTCAAATCTCTCTGGTGCTGAAATTACAAGTAATTTCAGCACTTACAAATAAGTGGGTTGTTAGTTAGATGGAATATGATTGGTTAATATTAAATATTTTACAGTGGTAAAATATCCAATTTATCCAATTATAAAATGTAGTTTAGTTCAGGTTCCACCCATCCGGGTTTTACAGAGTTTTTTAGAATTATCTTTCTGCAATTTGAAGGATGGATGATGAACGTTGGTATTTGGTGAACATCATTTTCTTGTCCGGTTCCTCTTGGATAAGGAAATTCCAGCACGCTGGAATTATTGTCAGGAAATTATTACGTCGGCTTTTGACAACGACTGTGATCCCCAATGAAATCAATCCGATTTCAAAATGGTTTGCTATGACGGGTTTTTCTGTATTATGTAGAGAACTTGTTTTGTGTGCAACCTCGTCTGGGAGGGGCGTGAAGATCGTGTGTGGAAAGGATGCCTTGTAACTCGGATCTGTACGTATACTTGAACATCGAGGTGGTCATTGGTCCAGTTCAATGAAGTCCTTTTCTGCGAAGTCAAGTCGTACTCTAAATCCTTTGAGTTGTGATTGTGGACGGCATGTCGGTTGTGCTAAGCCATTCTTTTGTTCGAGTGTGATGGGATCATCTAGTCTTTGGATGTTCGTCTTTGTTGTTGTGTATTGATCTATATACTGCAAAGTATGATTTACTTTTTATAAAATTATGTTAATTCAATTTTTATTCAGCGTTTTGTTTTACTTTGGTTATTTTGAAGAGTTACTCACCCTTGAGTACCTCTTAATAAAAATAGAGGTGTGGTCACAAAGCGTGGATTGAGCGCGGTGGGTTAGGCCGGCTATAGAGCATGCTCAGGACGTCCTCTCTGGTGGGTTAGGCCAGGAGTGGGAGTATGATTTCATGCTGTTTCTTTGAGAGGTCCTGATATGTGATAATGTTTTATGTTGGGTTTATGTTGGTCTTTCTTATGTTTCTTTGGTTGTGTCCTTTTTTCAAAAATCAAATTGTTTTTGGTATGGGTTTGTCTTGCGACTTTTTTGTGTTTTATGATTTCTTTCTTAGACTTTATAATAGTCTTCAAAAGAATAAATTTTCCAGTTTTAAACTGAGTCAATCCGGTTTGGGTACCGTTGGTTTTCTTTTCTTAGTCATGCTGTTATTTTATGATTTGTGGTGTTTAGTAAGCTGCGTTGGTTAGTTTGGTTTAGTATATAATTCCTTTCCAACCGGGTTAAAGGAAAGTGTGAAATTTGTTATCGTGTGTTAGAGTTGTTGAGTGTGAAAACTTGAAACTTAAAATCATTATTTAAACAATTCTTTGTGGGCGAGCTGTGCAAGTTTGGATAGAATGCTAGTGCGAGTGAATGAAAATATTTGAAAAGGTTAGTACTGCTTTCTCATTTCATCAATTTATTGCTTAGAATTTGAATTTTACTGCGTTTGGGGAAAATTTAAAATTATAAATTTTCATCGTAACTAAGTTTACTGCTTCATGGGGAAATAATTTATAGATAAAATTACTACATTTGGTATGTATTTTATTACATTATTTAGTGGAAGAAATTAACGAATTTTAAGAGAATTTAACAAGTTTGTATTTTTATTTTTCTTTTCTGTTTTGTAGATGATCGTGATGTGAAGACTAAAAATATAAATCAAACATTGATAGAAAATGGTTACTACTAATTTAAATTTATTAGTGAAGAGTATTTTAAATTATACTTACCTGTTAACCTTCTGGGAAAAAACCGTGGGGGAAGATGTCGTGTATCATATCTGATGTTGTTAGTAATTTGGCTAGTATGCGTATGATGTTTTTAGTTTGTAGCAGTGGCCAAAGCAATTGAAGTGCTTTAATGGTTTTTAGTTGTTCAGTGCGTACTGCAAACTCGTAAGGTGTGTTTTGAATGAGGTTATTTATTTTATGATTGTATTTAGTATTGTGAATGAATTCTAATAATGGTATTTCAATAGGCTGGATAGATTCATGCGTGATAAGGAAGGGTCTGGATTCTTCGGCATTAAAGGTCTTCGTGATGGGACAAAATATATACATTTGGGTAACTGGGTCATAGTTGCGGAGGATGCCGTGGAGGTTAGTATCTTTGATGCAATATGTAAAATTAAGGAAAAATGGTGACGTGTACTTTGAGTTAAGAAACTGAAAACGATGGTTAGGTTGTCTTGATGGGGTATGCAAATCAAAATGATTTTGTATAAAACGATAGTATGTATATGTGTGGGTTTGTTTAGTGCGTAACATAATATCGTGGGAACAGTGCAAATCGCGTTCATGTGGTGAAAGAAAGTGAAAGGTTAGTGAAAATAACTGAAATTTGTCATTGAAACTTTCGTAAGCTTGATTATCAGCTAGTGATTCTGAAATGAGGTGATCATACTTTCTATCAAAAATATTAAGTGTGAATACGTATGATGTTTTGATGAAAAAATTATCTGTTAGTTGCGGGTTAGCGAAGCGTTCTTCATCTAAAAATTGGTCTTGATTAGGTCGGATGATATTATGGTCGTAATATTCTATTGTAAATTCGTTAGCTCGGGGTGCAGTGAATGTTACGTAAGTAAATTTGTCGAGGTGTTAGTGTTGTAGTCAGTCTATAAAACATGTCTTTGTTCTTTTCTATGCTGTCATGAGTATTAGTTAGTGGTAGGCAAAGGGGGTTAGTAAAATGATAATAAGCTGTCCAATGAAGTGTTGGCATTAAAACATGTTCATCTACAAAATTACGTGCCATTAGTATTGTTAGGTGTGTTTAATGTATATTGTGGAAATGAGGGTAAGGTGATTGAAAGAAAATTTTTCGTGTTTGTGTGTTGCGGGTGATTAATATATTCGCAGGCTGTTCCGGGTTTGGTCGGGAATGGGTGATTCGGGAATTTTTCGTTTAAAAGTGCGATAAGCTCGGTGAGTGCTACTAGGTGTTTCGGTGGATGTGGATGATTGTGTGAATGATGCAGTGTGAGCTGAGGAGGGTGTAGGAGTAGGTGGGTTTGAGGATTCTATTGTGGATGATGTATTGTGAGGGTGTTAGGGTGTACTAACTGTTGTAGGGTAATAAAATTATCGAGTTCCTGGGAAATTTGGGGGTATCTGGGGAATGATTATATGATCTGTCGGAATGAAGTGGAGAATAGGTTGGGGTCACTTGCGAAGCATAAGAAGGAGTGGAAACGGATGGGAGTGAATTATTTGTTGGGATTGGTTGAAAAGGGGGGTTTGAAAAAACTGAGGAGTTTTCTGAGTATAATTTGATGGAGATGGTTCGGAGTCTGCAAATTCGTCAGGGGTTTCTACATTAGGGTTATTAAATTGAGAGATAGAGTATAAAACTGAAATATCTGAGTTAGTATCAGAATTCGTGCTCGATGATATATTAATAATCGGAAAATCGGGTGGTGGGACAGCAAAAAGTGGGATTATTGGGATTTGAGTTTGGAGGTTGTCTGGGTGGGAATTTGAGCGATCTAGGGATCCAAGTTGTCGGCTCATCGTGGGCTAAAAAAAATGATTATTTTGAGACTGAAAAGTGGTGGTGTGAGGTTGTTCTATAAGTTGTTCGTATGTATTATCATTTTGTGAATGATGTGTCATTATATGTTGGATGGGGCTTTGTGGTATATTTGGTCTAGAATTTGGATTATTTGTGATTGCTAGGTTTCGGAAATTACGGGGAACTAATGATAATGAATGGTTTTGTGGTAGGGGTGGCAACTGTGGTGCGGTAGGTGTTATCTCTAAATTATTGTGTTCTTCGTCGTAAGTGTTCTGTCTTGTGGATATTTTCGTGTTATATTCTTTTATTTGTGCATCTAGAAGTATTTTGTTTATTGATGATGAAAAAATTCCAAAAAATCCTGCAAACAGTATGCGTGCTACACTTGCTTGTCTGTTTACTTGTGTGTGTATAGCGCATGTGTTATAGATTCCTTTTAAGAGTGAGAAAAGAAATCCTATAAAATTAAACATTGCGTATAAGATAGTTAATTTTTCTAAGATGTAATAGGGCCATCCTAGAAAAGCTAGAATTTCATTTTTTAGGTAGACAAAACTGAAAATATGTATAGGTGAAATATCCTGTGGTCTGTATTTTTCACCGTTTAAATATATATAGTCTTTAATGTCTTAAAAATATCCGCTATAACCTTGTGTATAATTATCTGCAAATCCTGCGGTTTTGGCAAGTTTTCTTAATTTCTGGTCAATTGACTGTCTTTGTATTGTGTCCATTTGTGTTAATAATTCTTGAAATTGTTGTGTTCTAATGTGATGTTGGTCATCTGATTTAGAATATATTCCAATTGATTGTAAATCAATATTTGGATTACGAGCAATAGCTCTGATGCTTTCGGGTGAAAATTTTTTGAGTGATTACATTAACGTAGGGTATTGTGTAAGAAGATAGTATTTATCTTCATCAGGATTCAATTGTACTACCTTGAGGCTATTTTCTGATCCACATGGGACTGCGGTATCCCAAAAAAATGTTCGTCTTGAAAGTGTGTCGACAAAATGTACTTTATTTTCATAGAATATAGGGATTCTTTTATAACAACGTTTATCTTCAAAAACATATAGTGGTGATACTTTTTTGGTACAAGTATAATACCATAAAATATTTCCTTCGTAGTCTAGAAAAATTTATCTATTTCCTGACAATAAGTATCCTGCGTAGGGTATTTTTAGTACTGCTAGTGCGAGTGATTGCAGGATTTGTGTCCTTTCCAATTCACATAATTGGTGAAGTGTTTCTAAATCGGAGAGTGACATTTCTTGAAAAATTCGACTAATTGTGTAGTCTAACTTCATATCTAATTGAATATAGTAATGAATATTACCGAAATAGGTGTTATTCATTAGTGATAGTTCTTGTAAACGTGCCTCAATGTAGTACAAATGAACCTTGATGAAGATAAATACTATCTCCTTACACAATAGTTTTCCACCAGGTTGACCTGTGCTTTTTTGAAAATTAACTGGTATGTATGATGTTCCTTCATTTAGAGGGTGACCTGTGGCATAAGGGTCAAATTTAATTTTTCCAGTGGTCATGTCGAAACCTTTTTCGTATTCGACAAGTATTTCAGAATATTGTGTTTTATATAGTGGATTTCTGTATTTGCATGCAATTTCTGTTTCTTGATATATTTGAAAACGTGTTAATTTATTTTCTATATCATGAATATTTCTTAAATCTTTACTTTGTTTTCGGGATGGATTTACTTGTTCGTATGGAATTGATTCTATAAAATATTTTTCATGAAATTTTATCATTCGAGCGTGTATTTTTGCTACTTGAAATGTTGTGCATGTATCTTCGGGAAACCAAACAATTGTTGCTTGTGTCCGTGTTGTAGGGTCACAATAACCTTGATCATTTTTGCAAGAAAATCTAATTCCTTGATAGATCATTGTGTTATCTGATAAATCTCATGTGAGTTGTACTTTTTCGAGTTGTAACTTCCAATCGAAAAACATTATTTCTTGATATCCTTTATTTTTTGTGTCTGCTTTGCAGTTTGAGGGGTCATTTATTCCAATGTGTGGTATCCAGTGTTTATCGTGTATGTCGTAAGTTAATCTTCCGTGTGCGCCGTTGTATGGGTTTTTTTCGTCTAGTTTTATATGTCCTTGATATCTTTCAAGCTGTGCTTGGTGTACAGAATCGGCAAAGACTTGGAAAATTACTATTTTCCTGTCTGTGTTTCTATTTCTTGTGATGTTTAGTCTGAGTAGTTCGTTTTTACAATCATCGGGATTTAGCTGTAAAAGTCGTTCTTTATTACTTCGATAGAATGATTCGTGATCAAGTAGGTTCTTATTTCCATTGGAAACTTGTGAACAGTGTACTTTCTTTTCGGAAAATGTTGCTGTAAATTTTATCCTGTGACTGTTGTTGCTCGGGCTTTTGAATACAGTGTTGCTATTACATTTTTAGTTTCTATAGCTTGTGGTTCTGTTTCGCATTGTGATACTTGATTTATTGCATATTTGTGTAGTGTTTTTTGTTCGTTTTCTTCACAATCGTAATGTGTTACTAATAAATCCTGGGGTCCTGTGCGAGGAGAAGGATTTGTGTTCTGGTCGGAAAATATTAGAAAAAAGATGTGTTGAAATGTTAATATTTTTAGAATATAAATGTGTATGATAATCCTGAGTATGGGTTATAAAATGTTATGTAACCAATTGTGTTTTTGGTATATCTATCGTATTTATATATTACTTCAGTTGTTTTAAATGGTGGTGGTAGCGATTGAGCTGTTATATTTGTTGGATTTAATGGGTAGGGACGTTGAACAATATTATTAAGTTTGATCGTGATTTCGAATTTCAATTGGAGACTATTTTGTTGAAGTATTTGAATATTGTGTTCACGAATATCTTCGTAGATATCTTGTCTGTATTGTAGTCTATTGAGTGCCCAACTGTGGAGTCGGTTACTAGCTTGATGTTGTCCAAATAATGGTGGGGGTGCTACGAATGTATTCCAGTCTAGTCGTAAAGGTATATTTGTTGATGATTGTTCTCGATATCTAGCGTCGAGGTTATTTGGGAAATTTAAAGGGAAAACATCGGTGAAATTTGACTTAATGATGGTGTTGACGGTAGTGATAATGTTTTTGGTAGTGATGATAGTGTTGTATCCGTAGAAATATCTATTGGGTCGTTTATTATGTTTGGTTCACCTTGTGTATATGAGTGTGTTGTCCAATATGGTAGTCGTGTTGTGGGATTGGGGGGGTTAAAGGGATTTTCACGTATTTGTTCAGATGTTGGTGTTGAACCTAAGTAATCTGAGGGTATATTTGAGGTTCTCTGTTGTGAAAGTAGTGTGGGAATT